CCTTGTACGACCTCACTACGTCACGCTTGCATTTAATTTGCAAGGACCTGCGTATAGTATAAATGACACACGGTTGGTATTTATCATAATACAAACTATTGATAAATGCTTACGTTACATGCCCAGCGAGGTTACATCAGGTGACAGGAAATAAGATAATCTGTAATGTCGGAGTTTGTAGTGCACTTGATTTGCAGTGAAAGGAAAAGTGCAGCTTCTGGAAAAATCGAAGAAGCTAGAAAATAAAGTTCAAAATTCTGTAGCAATGTTATCAGGATTTCAGAACGATTAGAAGTGTACGTTGTAACATGCATAGCTGTGTTGTAACCTACACCCTACATCGATGTTACGTATAGTATCCACCAAAAAATATAGGTTTAAACACTGGTTAATATTGATCACCTTATTTTGTTGCTTAATTGTTTTTATTAAATCAAGCTATGATAGCTTCTTCTTGCGCCTTATTAACGCTATTTTATTGAAACTATGTAATATACTTTTTATATCTCTGAATCGTACTATTATTAATAATTTCTTTTTATTTTATCTAAACAATGCAATAAATTATACAGACACAATACATCAATTGTAATAAATAATATGAAAATATTGTGATATAAGAAAACAATAACATACTAGAGTAAATATTATACAAATAAACATTTTTAAAACATTTTTTATTAATATAGAGATGTCAATAAGAACATTGAGATATATCTTAACAAGTCTCTAATATTTATTGATGTCTCTATTAACTCCCTTTTCTTTGACTTTGACGTTTTAAAGTCCTTCTATGTATGTATGGCAGAAAATATTAACCTAAGAAAGATGAATTATTTTTTGCGAATGATAATGATACATAATTCAATACGTATTTGTTAATTTAGTTATAATATTTTATTTAAAATTATTAATATATCATACTTCAATCATTTCACAATGTTGTGTTATTTCACACAATGAATGTTATTTCACATTTGTTTATAGCAATTATGTTTTCGAGGAAATTATGTTACACCTAAGTATTATAGTAATTTTTTACACTAATGTTTGCGATTATACAAGCCATTTTTAATTATACTATACCATTTTTTTATTAAGTAATTTTATTATTATGAAATACTGATTAAAAGACTACCTCTTTCTTATACAACCTTTTTACCAGAAATTATTTCATTAAGCGTTTATTTTAGGCCAATATCAAACTGATGAAGCTGAAGCACAAGAGAATATATAACAATTATAAATTGTAACACATATTAAAGGTATAAACTATAACGTATAATAAAATTAAGGGTAATAGGTGATATACCAACATATAATAATTTTGCTGATTTTTTAATATATTGTTGGACGAATCCCGAACAACTTCTTTCTTTCATATAATTCATGAACTTCCGAGATATTAGCAGAAAACCGTTAATACCACTATGGAGTGTGTCCGCGGCATCATGCGTGCAATATTAGTTACTGGGCGCCTTACGAGCACGGAGCAGCCGGATGCAAAACTTAACTCTTACTTTTTGTTTATAATATAACATGGGGTGTCCATTAACGATTGCTGAAGGATCGACGGCAGCTTAACGTAGTAGCCGAAAAATCGACAGTTTCGAGGTTTGCGTCACCAAGTCGTACGTTTCGTAGGGTAAACAAACATTGTATCACTTACAAAGCAACTGCATTTCTTTTTCATCCCTTTGTGTTTCCAGACTGAAACGTTAGATATATAAGCCGCTTAATACAAAAGTAGTGTAAGTCAAAAAAGTTAATTACTTGATAATGGGGGATAAAGTAAAGATTTTATAAGGGATCGAGTGAACGATTGCCACTTATTCCGCTATTCACCAGGAAACTAATAAAGATATACTTACAGAGCTTCTGCACAAAACAGAATGAAGGTTACACTTTTGGTTACAATAAATGGTTCATGTAAACACATTGCAGCACGAGGATATAATACAATCATGCCCGTATGATTCTAACGCGTATGCTGTTATGGACACACAATTGTAGATAGAATTCACTGTGGTGGTATCGTCAGTCGTGGCAAATATCTTGAAAACTAGGACCACGCAAGGATTATATGTATGGTAAAGTTATTCTAAAAAATATTCAGAATCGTGGCTCCGACAGCGTATCAAGAAATTAAATTAGGCAAAATTAATCCTTTTGCAAAATAGTTGTAGACGAATTTTAATAAAAATCAATGACCACCATTCATCTGCTAGAGTTTAAATATCTTTTATACGCACATTTGTATGTATTAATTTCATTTATTATCACAAAATATGTTTCTCTTTAAATTGAGGTAACACGCTTTGTGTTGACGAGCTCGATAATGAGATAGTAGATGATTTATTTTGTTGTAGGCTCGTGATAATTATTTTTTCAAAATCCGACTTTTGTCGAAAAACTCAAACACGCCAGTATCAGGAAAGCAGGTAGGTTAGGAGGTTTCGTTATAGGTAATACCGAAGGATACGTATTTTGATGAGTGTAGGTTTTCCGCACGGGAAAGCAACATCTTTCGGTCGAAAAGTTAACATCTCGGAAAGTAGAGAACAGAGTTCTATGTCTGCTTTTCCTAACTTAAAGTAACCTATCGATGTAGAGAGCAAAGCTGCTTGCAAACGAGAAAATTCCTGCTATCGGAGCGGTGAATTTCCCTCACGATTAGGAGGCCATGTTCACAAGAGGAACCTTGCCTGTGGCATATTTTCTACGTAATGAGATTTTCTTTTAGTTTGGTCCAGAAATTAATACTATGATTTAGCGTCTTTCAACTTGTTCTACATTTAATTGAAAATTCATACAAATGTGAATTGAAATATTCCTCTTTGCTTGAAATCATTTCTTCTTATCAATCTCTACCTTTTCATTGAAGAACATATTAAAAAGTTATGCCACTATTCGACATAAAGGAAATCTCTGCAATCTTCTTTCAATACACTATACATAACTAGAACCAAAGACAAATACATATATATATGTCGAAGATGAAAAGACATCGGAGCCTTCCCTTTGGAACTTCGGGAAAATCCCTTAACATCGTAATCTAGATTCTATCATAGGCGTAATTAAACAATTGTCATTCGATCCGATTGTATTTGTTCGAGATTGTGATAATGAGCTTGGGCTCAAAGCGACAACCAGTCGCCGAACGTAGCCGCGGTCACGGGATGAACGCTTTGTCTAACAAAGGTATGGAGTAATTCTATAGCTCTCTTAAGAGAAATATTTGTAACGGCACGCGACAGTAAACATTCCTACGGTTTCTGTCCTGTGGCTCGCCACACGCAGGCCCTATTCTTCGGGTATCATGGTTACTAGATGCCGACACATCTCCACAGTACATGTTCAGCTAGCCTGAGGGCCGTTATAAATATTAAGATTTAGTTATCTAAAATCCTGCGAAGAGACAAACAGTCTTTGTCCCAACTACGGGAAGGTAGGGGGGATCTATTTTTTCAACGAACGACGCTTCCCGCTAGCAACCTTCCCTCAAGGGCGGCTAGCACCCTTTTCTAACCACCAACATGGGAATTTTTTTTTTATTTAGTTGTTTACATTTACAATTTGTCCGATTTGGACATTTGGTAGAAACAACATGGAAATTGACCAATTAACAGCAACGTCAATTTCCCTCATTTTCCGTTCGAAGACAACTAGCAGCAACGCCAATTTCCCTTACTTTCTGAACGAAGGCTTTTCTCGACGAATCCGATGATCTCGTGTCCTTAGACACACCCCATCATAGTTTTCCTCTGCAGCATCATCGCGACGAAAAGTCATTTTCTCGTGAAGTCGTATTAGCGAGTTACTTAGCGTCTTTACGCTCGGTGGATATTCCTCGTTTTAACAAAGAGTTAGTTTAGTTATACTTCCACCGTAGCCAATCAAATCGGGTACGACTTGGGCTTTGGAAGAAGGCGCATTCTGTTATCCCGTTGACCGCGGATTCGTTATTGAACCTAGGATCATTGTCATTAGT